TTAATTGATTAAAGTACAGTTTACCAATGGAGTAACTAACCGGTTAGTTTGTGTCTGTTTTGAGTTTTAATTGTAGTAACTATTTCTTCAGTTGTTTATTATGCTTATCTATTCACTGTACTGCTTACTTTAATGCATTTTTTTTAATTCTAGGACGAACGTAATAAAATTTCTTAATCTATGTTGTCTTGTTATTTTCTTTTGTGTATAGTACATTTTTGTCGGTATAATACATGCTTATTTCAAGTACGTACCTTAAAATATGAATTTTATACTCATGTGTTATTTAGGATTTAGATATACGTGCCTCTTAATATTAAATAGTAAATAAAAAAAAAGATATAAGTGAATTAATATTATTGAACGAAAGAGGCTTACCAGGTGTCTTGAGAAAGAGTGTACGGACTTGGTGTATGGGGTGAACCCTACCGTGAACGTTACTTTTAGTTGTATGGAGCTAAAAAGTTTCATACTAAAAAGGGTTGGGAATCGTTTTAATTATGCTCATACCAGACAGAATATTGAGGCGGTTATTAGTTTTGGTGTCCATTATCGGACGGGGTATGAGTACAGTCATTTGATTAATATAATGAATGTTTGTGTCCACATGTAGTGGGAATCCCTATAGACCCCCAACGACACCCGTAGGCGAGGTAAAATAATAAAGATGAATATGGTAAGGAACCCAGTTTTAGGAAATAGCGTAAAGTTAATTACTATATGTCTTTAGAATGCACATTATAGATTACTATTCTAATTCTTACATTAATTAATGACATTTTAGAATTTATAGGTGACTTGAGAAAATATTAATGTTTTTAGTTAAACAAATAATGAATGCAGTAGCGTTCAAATTTTATTAAAAATGAGTTCCATTGGTTGTTTTCTATTTTCGACAACCATTTGATTTTCTATATCAGTGGTAATGCATTGATTTTTTTTACAGAGTTAATGTAGTTCACTCTTTAGTATTAACAATTTCAGATCAGAACGACCAATACCCGAATCCTGAACAGTAAGAAAATTAATTAAGAGATTATCTTTTTGCTTCCCTAGTTTAGAGTAGAGGTTGATTATATTTGTTTTCTTTTATACTTTTTCTATTTAAAATTTTAAAAACATTTTCATAAGCCTATTGGGTATTTTAAGTAAACTGTGCAAGAAATGTAACCATAAACTCTAATTGCTTCTGCTAAATTATAAATTTTATATACTATTCATTCAACTATTTCTGAGTCATACGTTAAGAATTTTTAGTACGAGGTTTGGGCCTTTACAAATACGAACACTTATTATTTGCACATCTATATTCAAATTTTATTAAAAATGAGCTCCATTGGTTGTTTTATGTTTTCGACAACCATTTGATTTTCTATATCAGTGGTAATGCATTGATTTTTTTTACAGAGTTAGTGTAGTTCACTCTTTAGTATTAACAATTTCATATCAGAACGACCAATACCCGAATCCTGAATAGCAAGAAAACTAATTAGGAGATTGTCTTTCTGCTTCCTTAGTTTCGAGTAGAGGTTGATTATATTTGTTTTCTTTTATACTTTTTCTATTTAAATTTTTAAAAGCATTCTCGTAAGCCTATTGGGTATTTTAAGTAAACTGTGAAAAAAATGTAACCATAAACTCTAATTGCTTCTGCTAAATTATAAATTTTATATACTATTCATTCAACTATTTCTGAGTCATACGTTAAGAATTTTTAGTACGAGGTTTGGGCCTTTACATATACGAACACTTATTATTTGTGTAACGCCCAAATAATTTTAAATTATTGTTATTATTATTATTAATTTTATTTTTTATTTATTTTGTTTAATTTAATTTAATTTAATATAATAATAAAAATAATAATAATTGTAAAATTGGGTAAAAATATTATTTGGATTTAATTGAAATTGATTTTGGGAAAAAGGGGTGAAAATTAGAATTCTGGGGGTATTTTTGAAAAGAAAATCGAAAACCGGGGGTCAAAACACAATTTAGAAAAATTGTGCCCCGTCAGCGCCACGTTAGCAGCCACGTCAGTGGCCCAGTCAGCAGTCCTGGCCAACCAGGACCTGCCGCGTGGCAAGACCACGTCGACCGGGGAACGGGCCACGTGAGCGATTCCGTGCGCGCGATCGGACGGTTCAGATTTAATCAAGAACGGACGATCCAGATTTAACCAAAATGGACGGCTGTGATCAAAAGGCAAAAGGGTATAAATAAAACCCCCACACCTGACCACAAAAACCCTAGCCGCCTGCCCTCGCCGGAGAAGACGAACCAGACTCCGGAGGAGCCGGCCGCCGCCGCACCGGGGAGTTTTCCGATCACCGATCGAGGTAAATTTCATACCCCTGACTCGTTTTTCTACGCTGAGTTCCCCTGTGGCCAAATCGGAGCAAA